GAAACAGGCGGCAGACACTTCTCCAGGGGACTGGCCGCTGAAGACGGCTGGACGGGACATCCCTGCGGAGAGCTGCCGGGCATTACCTCCGCACTCATAACTGGCACAGCTTGCGGCCCGGCTTCCTAATGAGCTCCCGGAGGGGATGCGGGATGGCATTCCCCGAGGAGATGGGAAATCAAAGCACCATCTAATTGCGCCTTGTGCCATCCCGCCCGCGTGAGGAGACGGCTCCTCTGGCCCTGGGACTCACATGCCATTGATTTATGAGCTGAGCAAGCCATTGTGGTTCAGAAATGGAGAGAAAGGAAGGTTGACACTTGAGTTTCCATCTTCGTTCATTTTTTCCTCAAATCAAAGACCTGTATTTCAGCGAGGTCCTGCAAAGACGGGGCCTGAACCACACGCTTGCCCATGAAGTGCAATGGGTGGTGTTCACATGCCGTTAGGGTTGTGTTGGCACTGCTGACTTGAATCTAGATCCATTTGAGTTTGATTCATTAGCCATGCTACCCAGTGGCAGAAAGCTCTGCCCAACCAGTTCACCAAGAAGCCAGATACTGGAAGACCCACCAACTGTCTGAAGGGCTTCTGAACTTAGATACCTGCTGGGCCTGTTTCTGGCATGTGCTGAGGCTCCCTGTCTATTCCTTTGGAAGCAGCAGGAAGAGGGGATAAATTATAGCAGGGGTCTGAGAATTGGATTCAAAGTGTCTACCAAATGTTACGTACACGAGTTCATAATCTGTGAGGATTCTTCTAACCAGGGAGCTTTCCATAATGCTTGGTGTTCACGTAGCATTGTACAGACACAGAGGTAATCTTCACAAAGCCCCTGGAGGGTAAGTATTTTATCCTTGCTCAGCTGTGGAGGGGTGTTTACCACAGGCGGCACAGCACTGTGGGGAGGGAACTGCTGCACAGAACATCTGCGCCAGGTCAGACGGAAGCCCGTCTCCTGCAGTACCCTCCCTCCTGGCAGTGGCCAGGAGATGGATGCTCAAAGAAGAGCTTAAGCACAGGCCTGGCTTGTATCAGATGTCTCCCTGATACTCTCCCAACCTACAGCCCATTTTGGCTCAAGGACTCCCTGACATAGTTGTCACTCCTGAATGTGCTCATAACCCTCATTAGATATCTCTTCCATGAGAGAAGGCTCCCCCTTGGAAACATAGGAACTTTTACCATCCCCTACATCCTATTGCCAAGGAATAGAGTGTGGAGACTCACTGAGCTTGACCTTGGATTCAGTCTGTAGATGTTGCAGAAAATTACTTACAGCTCGTGTATTGAGGAAAAAATGCCTGCCTGCTGTGGAATACCAGACCAAACATGGATGGGCCCATCCAGAAGTCCTCATTGAAGG